ACGCATTGCCCTCTGGTGCGGAGCACTGCTTTCCAGTCCTGACCAGTGAACAACAGGCTGTCCACCTCGGGTCGTCGTTTGCTGCCGCTACAACAGCGACCACAACAGCCCCAGCCGCAGCATCAGCCGTCTCCAACAGCAGCAAACAGTCGACACCGATGATGTTCAAGCGTAATCCAAAGCGCACCTCAAAGGGCGGCCGAGCCTCAGGTCGACTGGCGGCAAAGCGCATTGATCGCCGGGAAGAGTGGACTACCACCAACACCTCGGCCACTCTGCCCACCACTCCACAAACCTCAGCACCGACTGGACAGGCAGCAACCACACAAACAACAACAACAACATCCTCTTCTGTGCCTGCAGCCAGCTCCAGCGCCGAGTTCTGCTCCCTGGACGATCTGTTCATCAACATCGATCGAATCATCGCCAATGACTTTCTCGAACCGCTACCCAGTGAAGTGGGCTCCTCTTCTCAGCAGTCCTAGTTGCAATAATACCTACCTACCTACCCGATCAATCAATCAATCAAATAATCGGTTATTCCGAGTCATACTCAAGTCAATCGCGCCTTCTTCTTCTTCTTCTTACTCAAAAATGCTACCCTAATTCCTGTTAGTTCAATGCTTAAAGTTTTAATTCTAAATGTAAACAGCAAGAGGTGAAAAGTTGCCTTGATTGAATCCACTGTTGCTTGAAAACTCGGTTCATCTCACTTCTCAAGAACTTATTAGTTAGTTTATACCTTTGTATTTTTATTTAAATTTTAATTAATGCTTCTGGCTGGAGCTTTTATTCTCATTTCACTCCAGTACATTTTCAGGTAAACCTTTTTCAGTGTATCTTTTAATTGCAATATTTGTTTTTTCTTAAATCACATATACTACACACACACACTTTTTCTGCTTGGATATATCTTTTTATCTTGTTAAATGAAACAACTTGTATTTTTGTGCAAACGTTTCTCTACCAAGCATTTTATTTTATGTCAATACATATATTTATAAAACTTGTGATAATTATTTATTTTAAAATTTTAAAAACGCAATAAAACTGATCAATAGCGTATTTAAAAACTTGGTTTTATAAACAATACTTGTTGACACTGAAAAGCGTCCAATCTTTCAGTTTGTACTGATAAAAAAAGTACACAGGAAATAGGAAGTGGTAAGATATAAGATAAACTCACATCACTGTCGTTTACAGCCGTCAGTGCGGATGGAAAACAGCCGCAAAGCCTTTTCCGAAACAACTTTAATCGCCACACTTTTTTTTGTTTCTTTTGCACTTTTACCATACAACTTTGATATCACTCGGATTGAAATGAAAGTGCAGGAGTGCAGGCAGTGATTACGTGCAATCAGCAAATTTTCCATTTGTTGCTAAAGGCAAGTGATCAAATCTTTTTGATCATGAAATGGGCAAAATGAGACTGCCTGTGAACAGTCGCTGAACAGTCTGTGAACACTCTCTTCTAAGCAGTTATTGAGTAATTGAGCTGTCAGCAACAACTGCAACAGTCACTGCTTGCCTCTTTTTGATTGGTTGCCTTTATACTGCTTGTCATGTGTTATTATTTAGTGTTATTCCACTACTGAGAGGGAAAACAACTGAGAAGTAATGTGACAGAAAAAACATGTAGAAATGCGCAACAGACGCATTTGTCACGCTAGAAACTGTCAATTCACCCCTAAATGGTCGATCTAAGTAGGGTTTATTTATTTACCCATCTACTCATCTTTATTTTCACTTAGTTTTGTCTACTTTTTTTTGCCTCACTCCACTTACAACACTTGCTTACCACTGCAAATACTCCTATTTCACTGTTAACTGCCATTTTGTTTCTTTGTGTTATCATTGCGTTGTCGTTTTCCTTTTGCAGGCACCGACTTGCGCAAACGACTGGCCACGCTGGATTGATTATTTTCTTTGTAGGCCTTTTTTCTCTACCAATCGATAACACCTAACATTAAACGATGGAAAATCGAGCATTCAACACAAAGTTGCCTGACGAGATTGACTGTGAAGCTGCGGCGTCGTCGCCGTTGTTTTTAAGTACGCCACTACTGTCGTCTGACAGTGAAAAGAACAGCAAAACTCGGTACTGCACAATGTCTCCAGCGGATCCATTTGGGGCTGGAGCTGAGGAGGAACAACGGCCCATCAACATTCACCGGCCCGTCTTCTACTCGGCCACCTTTTACCCGGCACTGCAGGCAGCCACTCAAAGAAGTGGCCACAACAGCAGACAGCTCCAATGTGAGTGCATCAATCACGACATGGAGTCATCATCATTGTCATCATCATCAGCAAATATTTCATCATCATCACCCTCCATTTTGCAAAACTCTCCTAAACTTTGCCAACAGCTCTCCAGCACGACAAGGCGCCTTGTTTGTTTTCCCAACTCTTGCAATTCCCTGTGGCAGACTCTGTTTCCCATTCTCAGCTGGCTGCCAAGGTACAAAGTGGGCTCTGACCTTCTGGCAGACCTGATCACCGGTTTCACCATTCTGGCGCTGCACATTCCCCAAGGACTGGCGTACGGGCGGCTGGCCGGCGTCGAGTCGATCAACGGCCTCTACGTGTCAGTCTTTCCGGTGGTGCTGTACGCCGTCTTCGGCGGCTCTCGCCACATCTCTATGGGCACCTTTGCCGTCATTTGCATCGCCTGCAAGGACGTCCTCGACTCATTCGACGCACAAGGACTGGTCATCGGCGGGCATCACTTTAATGAGTCAACTAGTGCACTAACTACTGCTCAGCAGTTGCAGCCGGCAACTAAAATTGAAATACTGACCTCACTTGCTCTTCTAGTCGGCCTAATTCAGGTTGGTGTCAGTGGTGTAGTGTTTGTTTACAGTGAAGTAAAGTTTATTTCAAATGATTTTTTTTCAGTTTTTTCTGGGCGTTTTGCGTTTGGGAATACTGGCGACACTCTTTTCAGATCCAATCATTTCTGCCTTTATCGTCGCCTGTTCACTGCACGTCTTCACTAGTCAAGTTTTTGCTCTGTTTGGCATCTCGTCGGCAGTTGTTCCTGAACGTGAACCCAACATTCCCTTTGAATTAGTAAAAGTAGGTGTTTTTGTTTGTCAATGCTTATTAATAAATTAGTAAACTTTTATTTGTTTTAGGACTGGTATCGACTGTTTCGTCGACTGCACAAGGCAAACATTCCCACTGTGATAATTTCATCTGTGACTATCACCAGTCTAGTGCTGTGCAAAAAAGTGTTTGAACCATGGCTCGTTAAAAAGCTTCACGCAAAAAACATCACAATTCCAATTGACATTATAGCGGTAAGTTTGTTGTGCCCAAATTGTATTCAATTTGATTAAGCAAATGTTTGTCATTCTCAATTTAGATCGCCACTCTGACCACTTTCTCCGGGGTGTTCAATTTTCACGACAATTTTGGCGTGGCCATCATTCCGAAGCTGTCGACCGGCTTTGAGGGCATGCCAGTGGTGCCCCGGACTGACCTGTGGCCCAAACTGTTCACCAGTGCCATTCTCATTGCCTTCATCGCCTACGCGGCCACGTACACGCTGGCAAAGATGTTCGCCCGGAAGCACCAGTACGAGGTGTACCCCAACCAGGAGTTGATTGCCCTGGGCATCGCCAACTTTGTGAGCTCTTTTCTGCTCTGCTTTCCCGCATCTGGCTCGCTGGCGAGGTCTGCGGTTCAGGAGAAGGTGGGCGGCAGAACACAACTTGCTTCTTTGGTGTCTTCAGCGTTTGTTATCGTTTTTATCCTCTTTTTGTCGCACCTGCTTGACAGTTTGCCGAATGTAAGTACCCTACAATTGCCAAACTGATGCTGACTAAACACATTTTTTGTTGTTTGCAGTGCGTTTTGGCGTGCATAATAGTGGTGGCGTTGCGCTCCACAATGTCTCAGTTCACCGAGTTGTTCTACTACTGGAAGGTGTCTCGATATGACGGCCTCGTCTGGATTGGCACCTTTCTCCTGGTGGTTCTCTTTGGCGTCGCAAATGGCCTTCTCTACGGCCTCCTCATTGGACTACTCTTTCTCATTGTCCGCATGGCCAGGTAAACAGGTGGTGGTGCACAAAAGTGCTAAATTTCAAATCAGATTAGCCGTTTTAGTCTACAAAATCTAAACAAAGTTTAATTAAATTAAGTCTAACTTTTTACTGTTAAAAACAATGCAGGCCTCAATTTAACGTTAACTGTCATGTGCCAGGATCCGAGTGCTACCTTCCGTCTCATCTGGTCGATGCCGTAACAGTAAGCCGAAGCAGTGGATCGTCTGACAAAGCTTCGCCAACAGCAATAACAGTGTTTGACTTTTTTGGCCCGTTGATTTTTATAAACGTGGAACGCTTTAAAAGATGCATTGAAGAGAAGATTTTGCCCGTATTGAAAGACAACAATGAACAGAACAACACCTATTTAACGCCAACAGTGCAAGTAGCAGTAAACAATGGCAATGACTGCCAAACAGCCAATTCAAATGTTGCAACTTGTTCTATCAACAAACCAAAATACGCGATTTTTGACATGGGACGGGTTCCATATGTGGATAGCAAAGCCGTAGAGTGTTTGCAAGAGTTGAACGCTGAAATGAAGAAGCTGGACACGATGTTGTTACTTTCAAATCTCAACGAGCAAATAGTCGACTGTTTCACTCGGTGCAGCATGTTTGACAGTTTTCCAGTGAACTGTTGTTTTCTGACAGTGCACGATGCAGTTTGTTATGCAAATAAGTAATGATTTCAAGTAATAAAAGTTTTCAAATGTTTGTTGTTATTTTTGTAAACATTTTTAGTTTTTGTGCAAACTCTGTTTTTTGCTGAAAAATGAATAATTAGCTACATTTAAAAAGTAATGTAATTATCTTTTGAAATTGATCGGGGTGATTAGAGCAGATTAAATCAATAAGGGGATTTGTGGTAGCCTGCAATAGAAAACAAATACACTTAAAATATGTTTTTAGAAGAAATTAAATATGTCTTACGCAGCAAAAAAAAATAAAGTTCAAGATCGTCGGTGAATGCTGTACTTGTTTATCTTCAGATCATTAACCGTCACCTTAGTGTTCGACTGCTTCAGCGTCGTCTCCGAGGTCTTGCGAATGGTGAGGTCCGAGTTGCCGATCTGGTGGATGATGCCCGGGTACTTGGCGCCATCGGCCGTCGCCTCCAGCATGATGTTCTGTCCTCGGTGGTACCATTTTTTGTTGTAGAAGAGCTTGCCATCCTCAATGCGCGCCTCAAAGACGCAGTGCTCCTGTTTGACCTTATCCGCGGAGAGGTGTCCGCCACCGCCGCCGCCGCCCTTGTGCGAGTGGTGCTCTCCTCCTCGGTGGTGGTCGCCCTTGATCTTGCGCGTCTCCTCGCGGTGTTCGCTTTTAATTTTGATCTTCCGACTCTCCTCTCGGGCGGCCGACTTTGCCTCCTTCAGTATCTTGTCCATCAGCTTCAGGTCGTCGGCGATCTGCTCATCATCGAGCAGGTAGTTGATGTGCGCCGGCGAGGGCCGTCGCCGGCGGTCGGTGGGCATCGGCGCCGGGTCGTTGGGCCGTCGGCGGAGCTGCCGTCTGATGACCGGTTTCGGCTCCACCGCGTCCAGCATTAGATCGTTGCTGTCCGCTTCCAGAAAGCGCCGTCGCTGTTCGTCCAGCTCCGACTGCAGCGACTCCTTGATCTCGGCGCGGCGCTCCTCGAACTCGCTGATGGCGGCGGCCTTCTCCGTCTCGAACTCCTTGTTGATCTGCTTCATCTGCAGCTCGAAGCTGACGTTGAGGGCAAATTTCTGCTCCTCGTAGTCCTTCTGCAGCCGTTCGCAGCCCTTCACCCAGGCAGGGTGGGTGCCCGCCTCCAGCTGGGCCAGCTGCTGGTGGAGCTCGGCGAGGCGGCTGCGAAAGCACTGCTCCTTCATCTCGTCCGCCGGGCGGTAGCGCGAGGCGACCCTCTCCTCATCGCCCGGCCGCATCGACTCTGTTTCCGAGGCGTCCTCAGTGTCCTCGTCCGAGTCGCGAAGGTACCCTCGGCGATGGCGGTGGTGGTGATGGTCGTGGTAGTCCTCCAGGTACAGGGACCTCTCGTACTCGTGGTCGCCGATCATGCTGAGCAGTTGGCTGCTGTACGGTCCTTTTTCGGGAACGGTGTGCAACGTCGGTGTGGCTGCAGTGTGCAGATGTGGGAATTTGCAGTCATTCAGTCAGCGCCGTCAACCAAAACAATCAGTCGCTACTGGTCGACAACAGCCGCAGCAGCAGCNGATTTTGCCGGGAAGAGAGCACAACAAAAGCTGCTCTTGAGCACGCTTTGCACGCCGCACAATGAGACGAAGCACAAAGAAAGAGAAACTGTCACTCGGCTTTGTGTGCTTGCTGGAAAATTGCGCTCACAGCGCTAAAAGCAGAAGTGCTGTATCATCGATTGTTTGCTATCGATGCTTGATTTTTTACATTTTATGTAAAAAGAATAAATATAAACGCTAAAAACTAATTAGTAAGCTTTATTTTGATAAAATAACTTGTTGCAGTTGCAGTTGTTGTTAATTAAAGTAAATAAAAAACGAAATTAGTTAAAACAGTATAATTTTGACAAAATATTAACAAGTTAGTTTTTAAATCTTATTAATAAAAAATAATTTTTGAAACAGTTTTATGGTAACTAATGCAAAAATCAATAAAAATCATTATAAAATTTAGTGAACAATTTCAGTCTTATGTAAATTGTGAAGGAATTTTTCAAATTGATTTATAAACACATTTCTAAATTTTGGATAAAACCCACGGCTTACTCAAAACCAAGTATATTGATTTTTAAAGCTCAAAAAAGTTGAAAATGTTTAATTTTTGTTTTTATTTGTCAACTGTAAAATTTTGTAATATAAAAACATAAAGCACATTTATGATTTAACAAACGCAAAAAACAAAATTAAAATCGTTTTGAAATTTTTGGTTAAAACAGTGATATTGCAAATTAATCCTTTTAAAACTGTTAGACATTTTTATGAATATCGTGTCACTTTAAAGCATTTTTATGTTTACATAACAAAACGTGTTATATTACTCATTAAATGTCTTAACGTTGTCCTGTTTATTAAGTTTGTTCAATACCTTTATTTTTCGGCGAACAATGTAAGCAGTTTTCAACGACAACTTCAGTTTGACGCACTTTTTGCAATTGTTCCAACTTTAAAAATAAACATTGTGTCATTTATGCATATA